CGGGAGCACAACACAGCCCAAACGCAGTAGAAGTTAAAAGCATTGCCTTTTTGGACAGTGAAATGTATATGTTCCTTGGAATCTTGGAAAGTGTATCTCCACTTTCTTCTCAGTTCATTATCTATATAGCAAAAGATCCTTAATGCATAAGGCATTCCCATGTGGAAAATAGTGTAACACATACAACCTCCCTGCAAACAAACAAAATTTCCTCTGCTAGGAAACCAAATAGGCATCCAGACAAACAGCAGGGACTGCACTTACAGGGTGAGGGCTGCACCAGTCTGCCCGGAGTTCATTTCCTGCCATGACTGGATGTGGGCTCTCATGGCTAGTGATGATTTGGGCCCATCTGCAAATAGGCCAGATCTAGCAAAACTAGGCATAGTCAGAGCTCACCTTTGCCAAGGACGATCCAGGATCCTGCCAGCTCCTCCCACATGCGGGCAGGACGGCCGCAGGCCTTTCCCCGCCATGTTCCTGTGGGCACTGCGGGGCGCAGCGTGGGGCGCTTCCCCTTCCTTGTTCTCACAGACCTCACACGGACACCCAGGGAACAGGGACAGGAGGTTCAACTCAAAAAGGACTGTGCAGTTGGTAACTGCCGGTCATAACCCAGAATTATGCCATATTCCTCATTCTGCTGACACGCTCCAGGCTGGAACTCGCTGACAGATTACAGGAGAACAGAAGTGTGAGCGCAGCAGCACGAAGAACGGCCTGTGAGCATTCTGCTCAGGGTAGTTACGATCTCATTCTATCTGTTACTGTGACTTGCGGTTTCCACACTGAGTCTTGTTAATTAAATGCTTCATACGCATCATTAACAAAACTTTCGGCTTTTTAAAATTAATTTTGGGTTATGTGTTGCTCAAGTTTGTTGTTCATTACAGTACACAAAGCACCTCAAACACCTCCTTTATGTGCCTTCCCTAAAGACGCCTAAATCATGCCAGCGTGTAAAAGCAAAGTGTAAATGCACAAATAGAAATAATTAGCACTTCTATCAATGTGTGGCTGTACTGCTCATACCTTACTGCAATTACAAGAAAAAGTATAAATACAGCTTAATTGGAATCTGTCATACCATCAATATTACAAATTTTTAATGCTATATTACTAATAAGATTTGAGTTTATTAATGCATTAATAATAATTGAGCCCAATTTCCACGGGTTTTGCACCTCACTTGACTGTAAGAATAAGGTTTTTTTTGAGGTCCATGTTTTCAGAAAATTATGCCAAATATTTCCAGTTAACAAAAAAAATGCTATGAAAATACTCATTAGTATTAATGTTTGTAAAGATCTCTTTCTTAATAAAATACATAGACTAGGTCTCAATGAACCCAAAGAATTTCCACATATAGAAATTACTTATTATCTCCACGGTTACATGAGCTCATAGACTGATGTTTTATGTAAGATATACGCATGAGAACATTAATCTCCTATTGTACAAAGCAGCAAATCTGTGTCTTTATGACCAAACATATGTTCCCATTGGGTGCTGGCAACACAACCTGTTCCATACGTGAGAAACACCAAATGGTTCAGAGAATCTCACACTGCACAGCAGAGCAGTGGAGACAACAACCTGCTGTGTATGCAGAGGGCTGAGCTCCCCAAAATTCTCTCTCAAAGTTTTGCTCCCAGGGCTGCAGGAACGCAGCACATCACAGGCAACAGCTACCTCCAATCCACTGAAAACCATCCTCAATTTCCATTTAAATCTCTTCCACTGAGCACTTTTCATTGTGCACAACTTACAGCTATGGAAACTCTTCCCCCTTCAGCTTAACTGCGTCCCACATTCAGAAAAGTGTCCCTGTTGGAGAAAAGCACTTCAGTAGATGTTTCACACTGAGTATACATTTGCTTTCCTACATTAGAACATCCGTGTCTGTGTACCATTGCATGGCTTCCCCAACAAAAACTGTGACTTGCCCTTGCTGTGTGGTATCTTGCCATAGAAAACAGGCTTTGCCATTCACATTAGTTTGTTAATGTCAAAAACTATGATAACAGTTATTAACCTGAAGACTGCGGGCTTCACCTTTTGCAGTTTCAGATTTGATGAGATAAAACTATTTCTTAGACTGCCAGGATGAAATAAACATTAGTAATACCTAAAAGAATGAAATAGCAGCAGCTATTGAAAATCAAAATGCCTCCCAGTGGGAGTTAAATGTCAGCTTCTTGATGGTAATGAGGTAACTACCAGAACCTCCAAAAACACCATGTGCAGGTCTGTAAATGCCCTCAAGCTCCCATTACTGTCACTAGGCTTCCTGATTACTCTAATTGCCCCATATACGTACTTGAAAACAAATTCTGAGCATTCATTTGTGAAATAAAGGATTTTTATTTGACTTTTTTGCAAATTTTCTCCCGTCAGTTTAATATTAATTAAAGTCTGTTGAGCCATATGGTGACGCTTCTTTAACAAACATTATGACTTTCATATTTTTCACCATGGTTTTTCCCATTTTTGCCATAACAAACAACAAAGCTTAGAGAGCTCACAGCACACAGATAGCACTGGTTCAAACCTTAATGCGGGCACACAAACTGCTATTAAAGGAACACAACGGAAAAAATGCTCTTCACAGAAACAAATGCTTTCAAAGCATTTTATGCAAGCAAACCCTGCATAATTAAACATACCCTATAACAAAACAGACCTTTGCACTCATATGTAGAGCAGAGTCATAAACAGCGCGGAAGCTGGCATTCACTTTTTTCAAAGCTGCAAAGAACATGCCTTTATAATTACACATCAGTATTGCAAGCTAATACATTTCTGCCCCACAGCCTGTGGCACATTTTTGAGATTTTATTTAAGCATTAAATGTTACGCATCAGTTCCAGATTAGGAATAGATGGAGAGAGAAACAATCCTGCCGAAGCTTCCTCTAGTGAGTATAGCTGGAGCAACAGCAGTTTACACTTGGAGAAGCACAGTGCAATGTGTGTGTGAAGGACATATCACTGAAGGATGTTTAAAGAACAGCTCTTCGAGAAGAAACTGCTGCCATTCAGCCAGTGATGCACACATCCCTCTCTGCCTCCTCACTGCTCTGACTGCTGCTGTGCAGCCCATTCCCCTTACTGTCTGGTGCCAAGTGATTGAGTTCCCTGCTGAAAAGAAAGGCAGAAGCTGGATCCACCTGGCTTTCCTGGATCCACCAGATCCTGACAAAATGTGGCATCAGTAAGGCTCTGTACAAACAAACTGAGAAACCAATGCACCTGCTTCTGCTGAATTAAGGAAAAAAGCCTACTTCAAAACACACTGCACTGCAAAACCCCATATCTAGCACTGGGTCTTGCCAAATTTACCAGTGTTTGTCTGGCAGGAAGGGTGCAATGGGGGAAGGAAGGAAGGAATCTTCACAGAAAACTAGAGTTAAACTCTAGTTTAACTAGAGCAGAAAGAGTGCAGATGCAGATACACAACTACTAAAGGCTTGAGAGCCTAACACCTCTCTGTTTAACAAACTGCAGAGACACGAAGGCTCCAAGTTTACATAGGAGTGGCTAATTTTCATCTACACCTAACTTTTCTTCTATGCTGAGCACAAAAGTAGCCAGGTACTTCTCCTTGTAAAATCTGTATTCTATATTTTATAACTTAAGAGAAACTACAATAATTCACAACTGATCTTTCCAGTGATGTGCTGTCATTTCTGTATTACAATGTAGCATTTCACAGTAAAATACATCTAATGCGAATGGACAATCTCCAGAAACATATTTTAAGCTCATTTGCTCTTAATTGAGGTTTTCAAAGTAGCTTAAGGGATTTAGGTAGAAAAATATTCATTTCGTATTTCTTTTTATCAATCATCAACACATGGATAAACTCTCAGGTTGCATGAAAACCTCAGCAAGCTGGATGCACATTCATTGATGAAAGACAACTGCCACTTTGGATATCTGAAGGATGAAACAATAAGGTTAAGCAGAAGAAAAAAAATGGCTAGATTTTGCTGGTGCCATTAATGATGACTTCACAACCCCCCTCCCTCCACCCTTTCACACACGGTTTTTTTTTTGTTAAATAGGAACATTAAAAAAACAAAATCTAGCCTGCTGAAAGGATATCTGTGACTATACAGATGTGATGGTTTCAGGAATGAGAAACCTACTTTGCACTGCTCTAATAGCAGAAGACGCAAAGCATTGGTTTGCTTTGGTCAGTCTGAAGCATCATAAAAGTTATAGGGAGTTTATTAGCAAAACTATAGAGCTCAGTGCTGAAAAACTACAGCATTCAGCAAACCCCAGGCACTGGATGTTTACTGTGCTACTCAACGCAGACAAGTTACAGCTACTCTTCAGCACGTTGGAAGTCAAAGATTTGAGGTGAGGAAGAGGAAAAAAAAGCTGGATCCAAGGCAAGACGAGCGGCAGCTGCAGGACGTCGCAGGCCCGGTGTGCCACTTTACATACAAGGTCACCGCACCGCTCCGGGACACCCAACTCTCCCCGCACCGCAGCAGCATTGGCGGGGGGAGCGGGGTGGCACCAGGCGGGGCGGCCGGGAGAGGCGGGGCGCCGTGCCGAGACTCCGGGACGCTCCGACTTTCGGTCGCGCTGTCACGCTTCCGTTTTTACACGTACACACATATTTAATTTCAAATGGTTTTAAAAAAAATATATTATTTTAAGCGTTATCGCTATTCTTTATATACCTCGCCGTAGCGGAAGCCCGCAGGCCCCAGCGGGGCCGCAGCTCCCCGGGACCCGCGCAGCGCCCCGCCCGGCATCGCTCCGCTCAGCGGGCTCCGCGCGGCCCCGGAAACCGCGCGCTCCCTCTGCGGCCGGAGGGAGGGAGGGGAGGAGGGAGGGAGGGCGAGAGGAGGAGAGGAGGGAGGGCGGCGGAGGCCGGGGCCGGGCGGGGCAGCAGCGGCGGCGGGCCGAGCCCAGGCCCGGCAGCGGGCGTCCCCGCTCCGCCCCGCGGCGCTCCCCGCCCGGCGGCTCCGCAGCCGCCGCCGCCGCGGCCCGGCCCGCCTCCCCCCAGCACCCCGCGAGGAACAGCTCCGGTGCAGCTTGCGGCACCGCAGTGAAGGGGGAGAGAGGGAGAAGAGAGACAGGAGGGGAGGAAGGAGGCAAGGAAGCAGCCCGCCTCGTTGGGTTACCGAGAGCAATACGGGAGCTGCCAGGACGAACTGAATCTTTGACAAAAATAGCTCTTCCAGGGTTAGGCTTTTTTTTTTTTTTCTTTCTTTTTTTCAGCCGAGCGCACAGGAGAGCTGCCCGGTGCCCCCTCCCAGCCTGCACCCAACCCGCCGGCCTGAGGGGCACCCGCAGCACGGCCGGCAGGATGTACCAGGGCCACATGCAGGTAAGAGGCTGCACGCGGCCGGACGGCAGCAGCACCGGAACGCGATCCTGCGAAGTTTCCGCGGGGTGAGCGGGGGGGCGTGCAGGGGGTGGCACCGGGAACGGCACCGGGCACCGTGCAACAAGTGAGCCGGGGCCGAGCGAGCGGGCGCTGCCGTCGGGCAGAGGGGAACGACGCGGCCGGGGGCAGCTCTGCTCAAAGGGGAGGGCGGCAAAGGGGCGCGCTCAACTTTACAGCCAGATGAAGTTGTGTATTTATTGATGTATAGTGCCTGCTTGTTCACACAGATTCGAGGGAGCATTCCAGGGCAAACACTGCTATGGCATGCTTTAAGTGACACATGGCTCTTGCCATCTTCTTGATGCATCTCTTCCTGTATGTCAAGTGAAGGACAAACAATAAGGGAAAAGACAGAGTGCTTGCTTTGCAAAATCTGCAAAGATTTCATGTCACACTGAAGCTGTTGGTTTGCGCAATGTGTTGTGTTAAAAGGTGATGGATTTCTATTTCCTCCCTCCCAACGTGGGATGAGGATTGATTTTGCTAAGCCCTGGAATGACTTTGTAGAATGAATTTCAAACACATGTCTAAGTGACTTCAACATTTGAGGCAGAAATCTTGCCTCCTGCTGCTATTGATCCACAGTGCCGGAGCAGGCAATGCCTCTCCCTGATAAAAACACACGGGTGCCTTGGACATGACGACTTTAACCTTGACTCCTGCTCTCCTTCACATGGCTCTTTCCTGGAAAGCCAAAGCTATTTTGAAAGAGAAGGAAATGCCAAAGCAGAGTAAAGGTTTACACGGCTCTCCCAAATTTCTTTGCTTTTGGACCCAATCTGGGTTTGCACTAATTGCGAGGAATGACGAGATGCTCGTATCGTGTACAGTGGCACCAGTGGTGTTTGTTTGTACTGAGGCTGTTTACAGAGCAACTGCTGCTCTGGTGAGCGTGAGCTGCCCCCTTCTCCTTGGTGCAACTGCACAGCATTTAAAACCTGCAGATGGTTGTCAGGAACATTCAACTGAAGTCAGTGTCAATCACAGGAGTGTGTACACTGCATGTATTGTACACACACTGTGTGTATTGTATGTGTTAAGGGAGGGCTCTGATTCAGCACTCTGACCCGAATGATACCAGCTACTCTTTCATGTTGGTGCTGTCTGATCTCCACAATGATAAATAACGTGTCACAGCATTGCTTGCCTTAGGAGAGCAAACAGGTTTTAACAGGAAATGTAGTCAATGAAAGGAATATACATTTTACTATTTATGATAATAAGATTAAAGCATGCATTGTTTTATGGTAACACAAAAACAATCCTGCAACAGATGTTAATGAATTAGATATTGACAAATAAGTATTTATGCCCTGAAGAAAGCAGTTCTCTTGCCAATACACCAAAAGGTTTCAACAAACCTACAACAGTTTTAAAAAGGAAGTGTGATGGAGCACTGGGGTCTCCGGCAACCTTGTGTGTTTTCTCCATCATTAAAAGGCCAAATCAAATTTGCAGTAGAAAAAAATCAAGCTCAAAACAAATAAACATGTTACAATTTATGTCCTTTCATTTTTGTTTTCTTTCAAAACACATTCATAGCTCAAATGTAATCCAATCCTATCCAAACTCACTTTATAACTTAGCTGAATTAAAATACTATTCAGATTCACTACACTTGTCTGCTAAAAAACAGAAACTCAGCTGAGCAGATCAGCCAAGGTTTTTAATATATTTCTGCCCTAACAGGAAACATTAATCTGCTTCAAAAAACACCTAAGAAAAGCTTAAAGCATTAGGAAAAATGTCCGTGTTTACTATATCCTTAATTAGAACCTTTAAGTGAGTCACACAAAAGACAATAAAGAGCTAATTACATTGAAATTATCTACTGTAACATTTATCAAACCTTCTTAGAAGGCAAATTGCCAACGTTACCGCAGAAGTGCAGCACCCAGCCACTTGCTGACCAAAACTCAGACATGTCCTAAGCATGATGGCTCCGTTCTGAATACCTCCCAAGAGTTTTTTGTAAGACCTTTACTAACATAAGGAAAATTATTTGCAATTTCCTGTCAATGTAAAACGAACATGAGCTACAAAACTATTCAAATTCGGGTGGTTTAATACCTGGACAACAATACAACAACAATAACAACAATAATCTTGGTTTCAGATGCACTGAGCACTCACAGCTTCCGCTGCTTTTGAACTGAGCATCTAAGCATCAAGTTTTATGTATCCCATTGAAAAGTGTGCAGCTATATAAAGGCTGATCCCACACACTGTAAAGCAAAAGTTCTTCTGAACGTACAGTGATTGAATTTAGGATCTGATTTAGAATGCCAGTCATTTCCCTTTTTCCTTGTGTTTCAGTCTCAGAAGTGAGTTCTGCAGAAATTACTCCTCAGTCTAATTACTTTAAAAGATGTTTACAAAGTCAATATTTTATTAATGACCTGCCCTAACTCAGCTAATTCTTCCAAGCTTTCTGAAAATTGAAAACATTAACAACTCTCGCAACATAATGAACATAATTCCCCAGACTGAGAATTTGCCTGCCTCAAACAGGCATCGAGCATTGTGAGCTTCAGTGGAGCATTTCTGAGCCCATTGAATTCTTCAGGTGTAGGTGAAATACACTTTGTATACTGCTGAAGTCACCTGAAATGAAGACATTTTAAGTACTGTACTGCCTCAGGCCATAATAAGTGGCTCTCTTCTTAAATTTTAGTTGGCAGTACGTTGTTTTTTCTCAACCTCAGGAAGTTACTTGGCTTAACCTGAGGACCTATGCTCACATTTCCCACTTTCTGTTTTATAAATGGCTCTTCACAATACGGAAACACTAGTCCTAAGTTAAAATCCCAGACAGAGGAAAAAAAATAAAGCAATAACCTCACCAGAAGACATTACTGGCTCAGCCACTGACTCAGTATTTCCTGGTACCATTCTAAAGGGCTAGCTTCTGATTCCTTCTGCACTGCACGCTTTCACATCAAAGACCAGGAGAAAAGCAGTGGCCTTCAGAGATGAGTAACAGAAACAGGATGCAAGGAAGAACAGTGCCATGGGAGCTCCTTCACAGCTGTTAGTCTATCACAACCGGTTCATTTTGGTGTGGTTTCATTTCATTTACCAGCCCATTTGTTTCATGTGCCTGAAGCCTAAGCCTTTATGGCAGGGCTTTTGCATGAGAAGAACCTGAGGTTGGCTGTGCCGACCTCCGTTACATAAGCAGCCCTACCGAATTCCAGGGAAGTCAGATGTTGACAGGACAAAGGCTGATGGCCACAGGGCACACCTGAGTTACACTTCAGGTCCTGACCTCAGCAGTTCTAGGGCTCCCTGCCTGTTCTGGGATTACACAGATATGTGACTCCAAACCTGAACTGTACAGGTGAAGGAGAGAGTATTTCTCTAGTAGGGCAATGTGTGCTGTTTACCATCTTCTTCGAGGAAACAGTAGCAGGCCAGATGGAAGCAGAACATGAGCTGAGTTCACCCCGCAGTCACTGCTCTAAAACATCTATCATTTTAACAACCAATAATAATACATTTAAAATTTTTCACAGTGTATTTTACACTTGATATCAATGCCTCCCATTGACTTTTCTGATAGCTCTACAGACGGATGGAAGGTAAATGACAATCATAGAATTGGATTTTCAGCAGCATTCAGCTTCTTAGGAAATTCAGAATAAATGCTTTCAAACCTCTTTGCCTTGATGCTGTACATAGACAGCTTTTTCCAGCACAAATGCTTGAACAGAAGAGGTGCTTTGCCAAATGTTGGCATGGGATTTTATGTGTTATGTTTGGAAATGGCTTTATTTAGACAAAGCAGAAATTTTGACCACACATGGCTATCAGAGTGAGTTCCTTTGGCACGTTTTTGCAAGAACAGACGCAAAGTGATGATGTGTTGGCCAAGTTCCAGATCAGACTGTTAGTCTCCTCAACTTTTAATTGGAAATGCAATCAACTTCACGCCCTTAGTTGTTGGGTTGCGTTCTGTACTGTTAAAGATACTTAATGTTCTACCATTGGCATTTCACATCTAGATGAAGGGATCCATAATGATCGCTCACATTTCAGTAAAATCTCATTCAAGCCCAAACACGCAGGACTGCAGTAGGTCTACAGAAAGAATCACTACATACGCATGAAAATTCTTGCAAAATTAAACCTCAGGGGCTCAATGTGTTTTATTGCACCTGAAAAAATGTTGATAAATATTTTAGAAGTTATAAAAACCATTTTTGCACTGATTTCCCAACACTTAAGACACAGTTCCCTCACTGGGAAAAGTGGGGCAGAACTGTCACGGAATTAGTTGCTGATGCAAGTCACACCTTTGCTTATTTGGTACCTATTAAAAATACTGTAGCAGCATTGATTACACTGCTATTTAAAATAAGTAAAACTCAAGCTATTCATCAATTATGGTTACAAAAATGGAATTGCTCAGCTATGCACTTTGTACATGAATAAAGCAGCCCATAAAAATATGCACAATGTAGAATTGAATTCAATGCTAAATTGAATCTTTGTTCAGCTGTTAAGATCAACAGAAACTTAATAACTTTAAGCTACAAAATTCTACAAGTCTGAGCACAGAGCTGGAATGCCAACTGATCCCTAGCAATGTTGATGAATCATAACTCCCAGCCTTACTGAAATTCCATTATGATAAACTGATGATTTTTCATTATTCAAACGTTTTCTAGAAGTACTTACAATGCCATGGCAGTGTTTATGGTGGCACCATTTTCCATTTTGTTTTGATATTTTCCAATTACTCACTAGTAGCTTTTTAGGTTTTGAAGACTGGATTATGAATTGCTTATAAATGAAACAAGCTAAAAATAATGAGCCAGTTTTCACTGAAAGACATCCGTTCAAAGAGAGTAGGTGATAAACTGCCTTTGGCCTAGAGGCGTACCGAAACTATACGAATGCAGAGTATTTGCAGTGCTGATATAGAAAAGTATTCCTTG